GCCCTAATTTCTTAACATAGTGGCTAAGGTAGCTTATACGCAAGTGTAAGTTTACATGTTAAATATGAAAGTACATGGGAATTGAGTGGGTATTTATGTAAATATTTCTATTTATAATCAAATCAAAATCAATATGTTCTTTCCCAAGAGTTCAAATTTCTTTAAAGAGATATCATAATTAAGGAATTTATGTGGGGCAAATGTGACATAGGCCAACCGGTCAAGAAATATTAATAACATCAATCAACATGCATAGATGAAGGGGCCTTTATGTAAAAATTAAATTCTATGTGCTAGAGATGTAAATACAAAAGAATTGAGGAGTGTGCATGTAAACATTCCCTTTTTTCTTATAATTATTAGGGTATGAAGTGCAAATTGGTATTGATAACTTTCCTTCAATTTAAAAAAAAACATCTAATAATTAAGTGCAAGTGATGATAAGAGGTACTTCCAGCCCGAACTAGCAGCGTTTTTATATGTGTTGACGTTTGGGGCAGCTTATGTGTTTTACGATAAACAGTTTATCTTGAAATATGGCCCGTGGGTCGACCGTGGGGGTCGGCCCGCGACCTATGTTTAGTATAAAAATGAAACCGCATTTTCAGATAAGCGGACAAAACACGTGATCCAAATGGTACCGCGGCGTTTTCAAAAATGCCCCCGCACTTGCCGCTATATGTAAGTATATGACAACGCTCATAGACGTCGTCGTAGCAGATTATTTCCGCCGGGTTGGACCTAGATCTTCTTTTTCCCTCTAATTTCCAATTCCTTCCTCCAAGGCCGTAATTATTTTGGCAACATTAAACAACAACAACAACAACAACGTAGTTGCAATGTTTTTAGAAGCGCTTCAAGAAAATTGGCAGGTGTTTATGAGCGCTCCTGAAGCCTATAAAAATGGTGTCAAAAGTCCTTGTTTCCTAGTGTTGTCTTACTCGCGAGCATTTACAGTCATTGATGCCCGATGTAAGGGTGATGGAGGTAATCTAGTAAGTACATGAAATGTTAATCAAGAAAAAATCATCAATTTATGTTCATATTCCTAAAAAACCTTCATAATACACCAATAATAATAATAATAATAATAATAAAAAGCATTTGAAGTCATAACGTAGAGAATCATTCGGAGTCCAATGAAATCACGCCACGTGACGGTGACAGAAAAAAATAAAAATCAGCTCGGTAACACGGGAATAGTCCCCCATGTTATTCTGTATTCAGGTGTTATTATATGTTATTCAAATGTTATTGTGTTCTGAGAATATTTCCAGTGTTATATATCGAAATAACACACAAATAATACTTGAACAACACACAATAACACATGAATAACATGAGAGGAATATTCTCTTGTGTTATCAGACAGATTTTTTATTTATTTTTTGTGTCACCACCACGTGGCGTGATTTCATTGGACTCTGAATGATTCTCTGTGTTAGGAGTCCTGACAAAATAATTTTTATAGGAATTAGGTATGTAAAAAAATAACAATTGAGCGGGGGCATGTATGTAAATCTTTCAAAAAAAAATATATTTATTGATTCATATGTTAATTTAGATTTAATATGGGTACTACAAGTATTTTATTAAATATTTTTCAAGATGGTGCTGTCATGAGAGCAATATTTTTTGAAGACAATATTTTATGTGAGGAGGTTCTAATCGCAAAAAAGTTTTAAAAAAGTGGTATTAAAAAATCAAGTTCATACGTTTAATGAATTCATCTCCTCCTTTAATTTTTTTTTAAAGACATTTATAATCATTTTTAGGATATAATTTAAAATTTGTAAATTTAGGAGGTTCTTATGATGAATGGCACTCAATTCTTATGTATTTGCATATCTATCACCTAAATTTTAATTTTTGCATGTATGTCAATTTAGTTATGCATGAAAATATGTTTTTCAAATTAGAGATATTTTTTATGTGATATGAAAAGGTTTGTGGTATAAATATAAAAATCAAATATTATATTACACGCGCGCGCACATACACACACATAACTCTTATGTATTTACAATCTATCACCAAAATTTATATAGTCACAGGTATGGCATTCAAAACTTTGGTGCTCCATATTTTAATACTTTCACGACGAAGTTAATCTTGCTCGAAAATAAAGAGAAAGCTGATACGTTATTAACAAATTTTCATTATCTGGCATAAATCTCGAGGCATGACACGGGTCTTAAAAAGATCTTTTGATCAATAAACCTTCAAACTCTATTAAAAATTACCTAGTACTCTGATTTCAACAAACTTATAGTTAAACTGATCGGCTCAAAGAGACGAGCCCAATGGTACCCAAATTGGTTCAATCTGAACCAAATCAAGCTTAGATCAAGTCATTAAGCCACTGTTGGAAGCATATATGATATATTTAAAAGATTAAAGAAATGTCGAATTCTGACGTCATTAAAACACTCAAATGTCCATCAAACACTGTTTGATATAGGGAATCTCTATGGGAAGTCCAATCAAAATGATTCATATTCATTCATTAATTGCAACTAAGTTTCTATAAATAGAGCCCTACTATACTCTTGAATGGGGAAGAAGTTTGAAGCCTTAGGGAGAGAGGTTGAAGCCCGAAGAAGACTAAAGCTTAGAGAATGACCGAAGTCCAACATCATCTCGTTGTCGACCACCGCCGACCACCAGTCGCAACCTGTCGTCGAACACCACTAGTCGGCCACCATCGATCACCATCGACCTCTGCCTACTTGTTACGACAAGCTAATCCACGCACTAAAGTTGTAACTAAATAGACTGTGTAACCCTTTCTCGCTTGCGGGATAATGGGTTATAACTGTAATCACCAATTTCTTGTGGATCTCTTCAACTAAGCCAGACCTTATGATTTTCTTCTATTTTCAAGTTTTTTGCACAAAAACTTCTGGCGTCTTTAGTGATTGGTTTCTTTCATCTAAATGTGTTAAATTCTAGTGCAAGACTAAGACGATATATTTATGCTTTACCATCGCGAATCTTCTAGCACACAACAAAATTTGTAAATACATGAGCATTGGTTAGTATCTACTTAAATGGTCCATTAAATGTCTCATCCTTAATTTTTTTTTAAGTTTTAACATAAAATAATTAGCAAATCAAATAAATGCATTTACAATGCTTTAGAGGCAAAGATACACCTAAAATATTGTTATTTATAAATTAAGAACCCAAGATGAGTTTTTTGAACTGTCAAACTAATATATTTACAAATGCTACAATCAAACTATTAGGAAATTGATAAAAATGGAAAATATGAATTGCAGTTTTACCATTAATTTTGATAATTGAGTGAGAATTTGAAAAATGATTGAAAGAGAATAGTTGATTTATGAAAGGCAAGTTTCAGGTGGTCTATATGTATATGCCTTAACACGCCAAATCAGTATTGCTCGTAAGGCTCAACTGTTTCCTACCTCACCGCCGGCAATGAGTCGACGGCGATGGGATCTTCAGGCCATGCAAGAGCCTCGCTGCCTAAATAATTAAACTGAACTTCTCTCCATTTGAAGCATCACCCCTCCTCTTCTTTCAAGCCTGCCTTTATAATATATAATCCCATAGCAAACACATAGTGGTGCATGTGGCTTTGTCCAAATCCCTATTTCTTGGATCCAAAGTAGGCAATAAAAGATTGTTAAAGATATTACTAGTCAAAGGAATGAAGATTGAGATGCAAGAAAACAAAAGAGAAGTAGAGTTTAGATTAGGGTTACAAACCAACTGATCCGCTCAAAAGATTACGCGTGTTTCGACCTGGTTATGACTCGTTCAAGACCATTTGATTAACTGATAGAATAGATTTGAATACTTTTTTTAAATACTTGATTGATGAAAGAACGTGCTTGAACGATTTTGTGTTTGATTTCCTTCTGATCTTGAATAATGTCATTGAAATTTCGCAAATAGGTTTATTTTTTGCTATATTAAAACTTAGTGATATGCTCATGTGATGCATGGTTTTAAATTTATGCAAGTAATATATGATTAAGCGAGACTCTTATTATTATTATTATCATTTAATAGTTATATTGGATTGATTTTCTTATAAATATGAACTACTAATTTGTGTTTGTTAAAATAATTGTTTATTTAGTAGTTCATTTATATAGAAATTTATTTTTAAGCTCAGAGGGTATACATTGATTGGTTTGATAAAGTTTATTTAGTTATCTAACAAGCTGCTCAATAATGTTGCTTATTAGTAGGCTTGTTGTTGAATAGTGCCTAAATTAAGTTCAAATAGTCATACTTTTGACAAAGTTGAGCATAAAAACTACTAAAAAGACTAAAATTAAAGTGGAAGGTTACTGGCACCATGTAGCTTCGCTGCTTGAGGCGAACAAGGGAGGTTGTTCGGCTGAGATCTCGACACCAGACGATGAAGAGGAAGGTTACTCGGCTATAGGCACGGAATAGCGAGGTTGCTCGACAATGGGCATGGAAGAGAGAGGTTGCTCGACACCATGCATGGAAGAGGGAGGTTACCCGACGAAAGTAGGTTGAGATAGACTGTCTTTTCTCTTCTAACCCTTTTGACCCTAAACAAAAACACAGAGGCGTACCAAAGTCCCAGGACATAAATACGTTGTTTTGGGACCATGATAAGTAATGAGAAATGTTCTAGATGATCCATATGTAAAAATCCCTTTAATTTGACTTAAACTTCATAAAAGTAGATATCAAACATTAGATGCTAAATAAAGTAAATACATGAGAATTGTGTGATCTAAATGCAAGTTTTCTTAATGCATATCAAACCTTCTATGAGGATAAATACAACTATAACATTAAAAAATTCAAAAAAAAAGTCAGCATATACACATTATAATATGATCAAAATTAATGTCAAAATCTTCAAATATAATTTACATAAGAGCAACATATAAATAATCCAAGTAAAGAAAAATTACATTAAATTACTTTCAATATTACTAAATACATAGCATACATTTTTTATTTACATCCCCACACCATTTATTTGTCTCATATACCTTTGTAGCACTCATGCCTTAATACCCCCTGAATACCCAACCACTCCCCCTGTCCTCCTCCATCATCCTCTCTCTGATTCAGTTGCAGAGATGTCTCCCACCGTCGCCCGTCTGCAACTTATCCAGAACGAAAAATTCTACTCTCGAGTCCTCTCTAAAGAAACCTCCGCCTCAAATCCCTCCTTCCGCGTCTACTATGGCGTCGCCGCCGGCTCCGTTCCCTTCCTCTGGGAATCCCAACCAGGCACACCGAAACACGCCATGGCCGACTCCTCACTCCCCCCTCTCACCCCTCCTCCTTCCTACTACTTCTCCTCCAATAAAAAAGCAAACTTTATCAAATCCCACAAGCAGAGCTTATTCCAAGCCATGCTCCCGAGGCTCAGGAAGCCCCACGCCCCGCCGCCGCCGCTGGCGTCAGCTTCCTCCTCTTCAGGATCTCACCGGAGAGCTCGTTCATCCTCAAGCACCATCTCGTCTTTCTCATCCAACTCCAGGGTTGATGAAGAGGAGCAGGAAGAAGGCCTGTCACCCACCTCGACGCTCTGCATCGGCGAGCGGCGGGGATGCTACTCCATGATTGGGATGAAAAAAGCTCTGCTTTCGATTGTAGGGAGCGGATCATGTCATCGCCCAGCTGCGTGAGGTGCTTGGATTTGGTTTGTGATGGTTTTCTCCACTTTGATTCTTTTGTGCTCTGTTCTGTTTAGAGGTTTTAATTATAATGTTTAACTAAGTGGTTGGATCTTCATGTGGAAGAAGAAAGTTGGATCTTTTATGTATTTGTAGTGATATTGCGCCGTGTTATCGAATGATAATTACAGGCTTTTCATACTTTCGTCTTCAATTAAGCTTCGTTATGTGCAGTAAAAAAAAAACTAAAATTTGGAGCCTTTTGATCCATGAACCATGATGTGATGTGAGTTTTTAGGGTTTTGTCTCCATTGCTTTGTGTGGTAGGTTAGGTTTGAGATTATGGAGTGGAGTTCTTCTGCTGTAATTAATGCTGTTGGATGTTTCTTGGAATCTCTCTCTCCCTCTCTCTTGGGGTGAGGCTGGCGCTCGAACCCCATACATTAGTGTTCTTCACTTTGTTTGCAACCAATGAGCTATACATCAAGCTCAACTCCTCCTCCATATATTATGGAGAGCTTAAATTGTATTTGTGTGTGATCCATAGATTCTTTTGATCGGTACCTTGTGAGATCCAAAAGAAAATATATAAGTAGGGAGAAGATGATTTAAGATGTAATTAACTATATCGGCTTGCACTCACAAGAAAATTTTGGTAACTTAAATTAAATAGACTATGTTTGGTCCCCATGTCACTTTGAAAAAAAAAAATTAATATATTTTTAATTGATCATCAATTGACTCGGGTTAGGTTTATTTTTGAGGCTTTGGTATCTCACCTTTTCTTCACATGACAGGCAATTTCTAAAGTCATGGAAGATATATAGTAATAGAGGCTTCGTAGCATATATCAACATTGGTATTAATGGAACATAGATCCACTCACTTTGATGCAAGCAACATACTATTAACCTCCATGCATGATGAGATATGTTAAATTGTTTGATACATTCTAAAAGAATTAATCTTTTGTGGTAGTACTATTCTTTTAACGCTAAACTATTTTGTGATCTATTCATCTCAAAATTATCGTTTCGAAGAGAGAAATTGATTCAGATTAAAATAGTATGTTAATATCATGGAGGCTCCAATCAAGAATAAATGAATATTGGCCACCTCTACCAAACTACTAATAGTAGCTAGAGCCAGCTTAGGTTTAGGCAAGTGAATCGACTCAGCTCAAATTTAGCTTCATGCAGTCTTAATTTAATCATCAAATTATGTAATACCATCATCAATTATTACCTATAAGAAATATTTTAAGGTTTGAAATGCACCATATAAAACCTTATCCTGTAAATCATTCGAGGAGATTTAACCTTTATCTTCTAAACCTCTAATGAAATTATGTTGTACCTATGTTTGATTAAGATCAGGAGCCTCATCTGTTGTCTATTCCACTTGAATAATTTAGACCCCAATGGTCTTAGGGCAAGGGTTTCGCCATAATTACCTTCTCAATAAATATTATATATATA